CTCCTACCAGCTGCTCCATTGCCATTTTGCCATTGCAGCGCCACGCCACGGAGCTTTCCCCACCCATCACCGCCGCCCAGATGCCCTCACTTTCCCCAAGCAGGAGAAGCAGCAGGTAGAAGAAAGGGCTGCTCTATTGCTTGTTTCGCCATTGCAGCGCCACAGAGCTTGCCCCACCCAGCCCTCGCATCCCCCAATAATTTCTTTGCCTACCTGATTTCCAGTTTTGTTGCATTTCTCTGTCACATTTCTCGCCATCGTGTGCAGGGAAACAAAAGTTTGAGTTCACTCAATCAATTCCAACTTCGCAAGATCTTTTTCTTTCACGAGAAGTTAGAATTGAGTGAGTGAACTTTTTTAGTCCCACAATCTTTTGTTTCCCTGCAAACGATGGCGAGAAACGCAATGGAGATAGGCTGAGGTGACGGTGCATGTGCCCACAGAGAGGGTTCTGTGTACCACCTCTGGCACGCGTGCCATAGGTTCGCCACCACTGCACTAAATGCTTAGTTATTTTCAGAATTGACAGCAAGATACAGTATGTTATCCTCCTTCCAAGTCCTATGACATACAGAAAAAATTGCTAAATGTAAAAAATCTCTAAGGCTACTATAATAATTATTATTTTAAAAAACATTTCTTTATTGCTTCACAGAAACATCTGGTTGTCTGTTGGGAAAGCAAAGTACTAGACTAGATGGATTTTGTGTGAGGTGCAACATTAGAGTTCATGTATAAAATTGCCTTTCATATGGAAAGACAAAGGACAATGCAATAATAAATTCATCAGCTGTCACAGCCAACCAGTTTATTAAGACCATAACTTATGTAATAATTTTAAAAATGTAACAGACAGCTGATCAAGGTTAACACAAAGATCCAAAGTATATTAAGATTCATAGGCAAATAGATGGTTTTGGGTGATCTGCAAGGCTGAATCCATTGTGATTTAATTTCTAAATTAAATAAACAGCAATAGAGATTTTCAGGTAAGTTATATTATATATGTAATCTTAAAAGCACCTCTCTAGAGCATGGATGTAAAGCTCGCGGTATCACATTGCCATCACGTGATGTTTTCCTCTTTTACAGAGCTGAGGCAGGAGTGGCCTGTGTGTGACGCATCCAGCCCGTGGGCCGGCAGTTTGACACCCCTGCTCTAGAAGATTAAGCTCTAAGTGTTTGATTTGCATCATGACTATTTTATTTTCCACATCTCAAACAAATGAACTCTATCAACTTAACAATATGTTCTAGAAAGCAGAGTCCTATTAATATATATTTTTAATATTCATGCTACAATGCTAAGAAAATGAGACATTTCAAAACACTAAGAAAAGCACATTTCAAAAGCCAGAAACAATGACATATAATAGAAATATACATGTTATGATAGTCAATAAGCAAGCTAGTTTTAAATACTAAATATTCTGCTCTATAGCAAGTAAAGGCAACCTATATGCTGCTCTTTAAGTAGATAAGGCACAGTGACAAATCAGTTTAAATTAGTTCCTTAATTCCATAATGTGAAATAGACTTTTGCTGACTACTTTACCAAGAGTCAGACCTAATGGATTTGTAACATTTTGCTAATCAGCTCCTAGATCTCACATTAGAATCTATTGCTCACATTTTAAAAAATGAAAACTGCTACTCTCTATTATTCATCCTAAAGAAACTGCCTATGCTGAGTAATTAATGAGAATGTAAAACTGGTATAACCAGAAAGTCTGCAGTAACATTACTAGACTGGAATCACAAAAAATTATAGACTGATCAGTAGAATGTATGCTATCTAATTTGCTATTCTGCTTTTGTGTTAAACTAGATATCGTCATCTACTATAGATTTGTGAGAATCTTATCTGAGGTTGAAAAAATGGATTTTAAAGGGATAGTCTTAAAGAGACATGTGATCCTGATTACTTCAAGTCTGGATGAATGAAAATGAAAGAAAACATCAAATTTACTAAAATTATTATTATCTTTACATTAATAAATCAGTATCTTACAGACTGATTAACATTTTCTGACATATTTTGTATGCATTTCTTTAAAAATAATAATAATAATATGGAAGCTAATCAGAATGGACATGAGTAAATATGTGATAATTATTAGAAACAGACTGTTGATCCCTAGTTCTAATGAACAGACCTGGGCTTACAACAGTACTGTAAATTTAACAATAGAAATGAGTGTGATTCAAACTATGGGATACACAGATGTCTCTGCTAATCAGGTCTGACCATGTTCAACTTTTCTAAGAGCAGCAAAGTTCGCTAGGTGCTGCCATCTGCTGAGGATGAGCTATCGTTAGTCTAGCTAAATCTCTGCTGATCTCCTTATCCAGTCCAGAAGAGGAGATTGTTCTTCTGGAGATTCTACAGGATTTAAAGTGTTGTAAATTGCTTAGAATTACTCTCAACCTGGCCTAACCCTTGGTATCTCACTATTCCACTGGCAGATCTTGGCATCAGACAGCAAAAAAAAAATTATGTGACAGAACTGATTTGGATGATTTCCTATTGCCATACAGTGCAATTTTTAGTATGGTCCTTTAGACTGAGATTTTTCAAACTGTATTCTAAGATTATAAGCAAACGGCCAATTTTCTAGCACTACAGCTTTGGCTCTGGATCAGGATTTCCAGGAATTTATTTTTAACCAACAGATTCTGTAGCTTGAAATTTTTTTGAAAATCCCTTATTTTGTTATGACTACACAAAACTCTTTGTCAGGTAGTGTATGGGAGATGAAAATGATTACACATTGTAAGTGCCTTGAAGATCCATAAGATTTCTAAAAATTATGATTTTCTCTTCTAAAGACAAATATCTTTGGACATGAATATGAAGTTATAACAAAAATAATCAACTTATATGAACAAGTGAAATCAAGAGGCTGTTCCAGTGCCTGGAAGCTGTTTGGGTTTGGATGAGGAATAATATATTTAGGCCCAATCCTAGAATGATAGAGGGTCTGGCTTTGGAACCATCCAATTACAGGAAAATCCCACTTCTAATTCTGGATGGATGCATGGTCCCATACCAAACTGGTTCATAATATGTGGGCCCTTTTGACTCATATCTCTTGCTCAGTACTGATGTGACTAAAAGAGCCTTTGCAAATTCTACCGTATGCCAATTATGATCCTACTAACAAACATTCAAGCCTTGGTCACTGTTTGGATTACTACATAGATGGGGTTGCCTTTTGAAATGATTCAGAAGCTCATCTAGAACAAAACACTTTGAGAAGTTTTAGGCATATCCTTTCACCCATATAACAGCATTACATTTAATTGTGCTGTCCAGTTACCAGCTGATTTCTGAGTGCAATTTAATTTTCTGATTTTCATCTTCAAAATTCTACACAGCTCAAGACCCAGGTATCGACTATCTACCCCCAATTGTAACTGCTATCTAATAAGATCATGAAGAGTTACTCTCAACTGATGCCTACAGTTCTTTGGAACAACACTTTGCCTGTATTCCACATAGCTTCACCACACTGTGATTTAGAAAAACTCATAAAATTGGTTCTTTTAGGAAGCCCTTGGAAATTAATGAAAGGAAGGAGTAAGACATCAGAATAGTGACTTTTACCTTGGAATTATTTGTCAGGAAGAAACTAGAATTTGATTGGAAGTATTGTTAGGATAAGGAGCAATAAAATAAATGAGTCTATAAAGGCAGCAAAGGGAATGATTTAAATACAAACTAATATGGAGAAAAAGTAAACTGACAGAGAGGAAACGGAGAGAAAAATTATGGGAATGGGAACAAAGTAAATCACAAAAAAGCAGAAGCTGAGTTCATGGTAAAACAGAAAAAAGTTCATCTTAAGAAGCAAGAAAAAATACTAGGTGTAGAAGAAAGAAGCAGAAAAAATATATACTAATGCAAAAAACAAAAGGACCTGGTCTAATTTCCTGATATGAATGCAATGAAATAGCTCCTTAGCTTATTTTTTAATCAAGAGGGGAAATCCAGAGAGAGGTGACAAAGTCTTGTCTTGAAAGGAAATCCTTGCCTGAAATATCTTAAAACCTAGATTTACTTCTTGTATTCTTCCGCTCAAAGCTTAATAATTAAAATACCCAACCTTTTTTTTACTTGAAGGTTTTTACTGGGTACTGATTCAAAGTGACATTTAGAAACAAAATAAGAAAAAAATGCTACTTCTTTCTTTTTGTCTTAAATGATAAACATTATATTTTTAAGGCAAATTTTACCTTCCCTTTCCTTATTTAGATTACCATAATGCTGGAGTTTGAAAGCATGAGAATGGATGAACAGTTACAGGCAACAAAAACAAAAACTAAGATCAAACATTTCTTTCCACAAAGCTTAAACTGGAATGCTAAAATCAACCTAAACGCTGTGGATTTTCCTCTAGGATGAGATCTACAATGCTGCAATTGTGAACAGAGAACAGAGAAGATTATATCCTCAACAGTAGTTTTCTACACCCTTTCCAAATATGGAACACTTTCTCTTTTCTCTAAACGGTAGAAAAGGCTAATATAGTCTATTGGGAGCAAATTTGAATCTGGACATAGATAGCTGAGCATGTTAAAGAATAGCTTGAAGATCATTGGTTGTCTATATGGCTTTTTTTGGAATCTGAAACAAACCTAGCAATTTCCAATCTTATTTTAGAAATACTTTCATTTTAATACACTGCTTTGATATTTGTAAATAGGTTTAAAAGGTATCATAATGTTGCTCCTTAAGTTATGACTCCTTATGAAGGAGTTGGGACACCAAGTTTTAACTGTGCCAAACCACATTGAAAGCAGCCCTTTTCTAAATCTGTTGAAAGGCTGCACTGCATATAGCAGAACTAATTTGATACGATTCAAGAGGTTTGGGAATGTAGCTTTCCAGACTGCAGCATCTAGGCTTTGGAGTTGTTTGCAGTCAACTAGTATCTTGTTTTATTCTCATGTTAGTTAAACCTGTACTCAATCTTTGAACAAAACAGAAGACATCTTACCGAAGAAGCAACTCTTTGGGAAGCTTTTTGTTGATCACAGCCTCATCATTGTTTGAGAACATCTATAAAATAAAAGCAAAACACACATTAAGTCTTCTGCATTTTCATCATAGATCATATCTTTATAACAAAACCAATATGGCACTTTTGCACAAAAAAATATTTTTAAATCAGATTGGATTGACAGCTTTTAGATATTATGTTTGTACATTTATTTTGAAAAGTATTTTTTTTCCTGCCAGACCATATGGTTAGGTGCATGTTAGATACAGGTTACAGAATCTAAGTAACATTTCTTTTGTATTATACCAGCTGAATAGGCTCTGTTTTCCTTAAAAGATAAAACTATTCTTTTTGGGTAAACAGATTATGATCATAAAGCAATGGTGCATTCCCAGAGATCAAACATCTGTCCAAATAATCTTGAAAATACTTAGTCACGTGATTTATTAATTCTAACATTGTATTCAAAATTGATCTCTGAGTGTTTCAACATATATCTTGCCTTGCCAAATTATGTCCCCAAATGTTGTCTGAATGCATACAATTCAGCAAACAACCTCAGTTTAAGTAGAGATGAATCTGGCTACTAGCTGGAATCCCCACACAACATGTCTATGTCAGCAGGTAAGATTTCCAGTGGATATGCAGTAGAACTATATATTGTTCTGGTGGCTGATATAACAGAAAGCAAATTTAAAACGTCCATGATAAGTCTAAAAATGGAAACAAATTTCTGGAAAATAAAATAAAAAGAAATTAAAAAATCACTATAAAACAAAATAAAAGATGACTCAGGCAGGATGAAATGCTCTCTTCAGAACATTTCTTTCTTCAAGATCTTCCTATATAAAATCAGCGATGGTACCAGTATGATCTCCATGGTAAGATCATTCTAGAGGACTGGCACTGCTACTAAATCCTTCTTTATTTTCTAAATATTAAGAAAACCAAAATATATGTTAAGCCATATAAGCAAATCCATGTATAATTTATAACAAAACTTGAGAATATTTTTTTATTATTTTTAAAGCATACATAAGATAAAGACCAGCATGTTCAATGTTGATGTTTTAGTTTTGCAAAGCAAAAGTTCCAACAAATTAGAAATTTGATGGTTCTGGAGGAGGAGTAACTGGGCTCCAGTCAGACTACAGCAAACATGATATATATACATTAGTAGGGCAAACAAAGATTAATGTAACACTTTCAGCATATTAACTTTTCTATATTAAGAACATAACTTTTATTTTGATGTACATCTTCACTGGATTCCATCTAACAATCATATTACTTCTTCAATGATAATTATTTGTTAAACTATTACATATGCCAAAAGTAAATAATGACAAACCACCTCCACATTGTTGCCAAGGGAACTATGTGGACATGTTAATGAAATCACCAGGAAATGACTACAGGGCAGATTGAGGAGTATTGATCTTGCATGTGTTTTTAATTTGCACAGCAAGAAATGTTCAAGTATTTTAAAATTAACACAACAACAAATTAAAGCAACTATTTTTTTAAACAATCATAATGGTTATTCTTACTGTCTTCATCAGATTTAAAAAGGAGGATATAAAAGATTTTAACTTTTGGATTACAGCATGACATTCCCTTAAAAGCATTGGAATCTTCAGCTGGATCAGAATGCTACAACAAATTTCTGACTGAGACCAATTTTATGCAGCATATGATTTCTATCTTATGACTGACTCTTGGGTTACTGGTCATTTTCAAATTCCAATTATATTCCATTTAAAAAAAACAAGATTCAGTGAGAAAAATTAAATGTAAACATGGGTAGATTGCCAATATATGGAAATCAAAATTACTTAATAATTGTACTTATACAATTGTCAGTAATAAAGCAAATTAGTTAACAATATAGCCATAATGTTAGCTACATACAAAATAGGTGTATTACAAATATATTATGTCTGAACTTAATAGGTTTTCCTCAGTATTAGTCTGAACAATGGAGAACCTTTGATCTACCTATTTTGTTTATGTTATACGAAATACTGAATAACTGATGTTCAGTAGAGTAACATCAGTTACTCAGTAACTATCAGAATACCTGATAGTCCTCAATTTACAACTACTCATTTAGGGACAGTTTGAAGTGATTTATGGCTGGTTTTCACACTTAGAAACATTGTAGTGTTGCCATGGTCAATTGGGGCACTGAATAACTGGCATGTATTTATTTCAGGGTCAGGTGATACTATTTGTAACTTTCCCAACTGGCTTCCGACAAGCAAAGTCAGTGGAGGAAATCAGATTTGCTTAATGATCACACGATTCAATTAACTGCAGTGATTTGCCTAACAACTGTGGCAAAAAGATTTAAAATGGGGCAAAACTCACAACTGCCTTGCTTAGCAATAGAAATTTTGGGTTCAATTCTACTCATGTTAAGGATTACGTATAAATTATTACTTTTAATTATTTAGCTGTTTTGATTTGTTTATATTTTACATTTTATAACTGTTACATCAAAATTAAGACTATAACTGATGATGGCTTTATAAAAGGCCCTGACATTTACTGTAGGTAAAGCTATGGTAGATACAGAACTCTACAGAACAAAACATTGTAACATTGGCTGCGAATTACTTTAAAGACATTCTTTTTTCATTTCCTTATGCTTTCTATTATGTTCTCCTGATGGATATATACAATGCTGATTGTTTGTAAATGCATTATTATGATTATGAAAAACAAAGTTTGATAAACATAAATTAGCTAAAACGGTCATTTTAAAATTTTCATCTCATTAATAAAAATTCTAGTACTTTAGTAAAGTCCACTTTACTATCTGTAATTTTTTTAGGCAGAATACATGAGCAGCTGTAATGCTATTTGCATAATGCTACCTGATAAATATGTTTAGATATTTAAGTATTTTCAGCAGTAGTGCATTTTTGGTCCTTTGGATGTTGCTGGGCTATAACTCCCATAATCTCTGACCAAGGGTCGGGTTGATTGGGGCTGATAGGAACTGGAATGTTACCTGGAAAATCAAAGCCCTGGTTTACGTACAAAATGCATGTGAACTTTCTATTAATTGCTTATGGATTTTTTAAACCTGGGATTATGCTTTATACATCAAACAAATATGAATAGATAATTTAGAAATAAAATATTACACATTATGTTTATTTGGCCAATTTACTTAATAAGCTCAAGCTTGCTTTTTTTATAATATTATAAAGCCATACTTTCTCACCTTGGCAACTTTAACATCTGTGGATTTCAACTCCCAGAGTTCCCCAGGCATCATTCAGATCTTAAAATTTGCCAAGGTTGAGAAACACTGCTCTAAGTCACTAATAGTGTTTAAATACCTCAAATGTTTTGTTCATAGACTACAACATCACAACGATGCAATCATAGCTTAATGCAACAAGGTACTATCCTGAGACTATTGAGCAAGTATATATAATAGTAAGCTATTGTTGACATATTTACAAATCACAATTAGCTATAATGTGGCTTGTTTTGGGAGTGTAATGTTATGAGTCTACAACTACAGCTTACTATAACAATGCTATGCTCAACAAACTACAGTTACATTAATGCAGCTACAGTATTTAAAATCAGATAGAGAAAATATGTCACTATTTTTTAAAAAATAATTCATAATTATTTTTAATTTTAAATTTTATTTAATTATAATTCATTTTGATTAACAAATATGTATCATGTCTTTCAGATTTCTGTTAAATCTTTTTTCATTAACTTTAAGAAATAGGTATTATGAAGAATATTAAAAATGTTGAAGATACACAAAAGTGAATGGGATTTTCCTAAAATTAAGTACATGAGATTTTTTGTATGTTCACAACTTGGCAAGTCACTGCAATTTCTTTTGAAGTAAAGCTTTTTCTCTTACTTAGTTTATTCAACAGATATGGTTTATACCAAAGAATAGTAAATTTAATGATTCTGGCCATTTCTTTTTCATTGATCCAGCATGGATTCCAAAAGTGCTAATCACAATCACTTTTCCTTATGCTCCCTGCAGCAGGGACAAAGGACAAACATGGAATGAACTGCATAGTGCTGTGTTACTATATTATAAAATAAAAAAATAAACATTTCCATGTCTTGGAAACTAAATAAATAAAATATAATTTTGTTGCAACTGCTAATGACAGATACAGCCCAAATGTATTTGCAAAATACTAAAGTAGAGAAGGCTGATTTATATCAAACAATATGGATTAGCTCTTAAGCTTCATTAAAACCAAAGGGACCCTACTAATAATTATTTTACAACTCATTAATTTCAGATGGTTTACTCACATCCATTCCATAACATATTTTACATAACAAGCAATGTCAGAAAATGGCTTAACAGAAAACTGGCAAAAAAATAACTTTGGGTATTATTATGTGACCATAACTCAATATACAATCAGAGCAGAATGGATTGTAATCCACTTGGGACTTGGAAACATCTGCAACTATATTTATTTAGTATTTGCCATATTTATAGACTGCTGAATCTCTAAGGACTCTCAGCAGTTTACAAGATAAAAGATACAAAAATCAATATATATTAAACAACAGGTATAAAAGATACAGTAGGTCTATAAAATAAGGGAAACATAAAATTGAATTAATTAAACCAAACAATATTCAAATGAAATAGATCTAGCCTGGGATAATGTATATTGATGACATCAAAGTTCAAATCTTCAGATGGCCATTCTCAACTAGTTGAACTCTTAACTAGGAAAGGAGGAGAAAAAACAATGTAGTGCCCCAATCCCAACTCACAACAGAGTAGTCCTGAAAACAAGAACATACTTGTGTTGGATCAGATACACTTTACTTTCTTCACCGATGTTCTAGACATCACTTATTTGTCAAATTGATATGCTGTCCATGAAGTAACTCTGTATGTACAATGAAATTCTATAAAGCTAATTAAAAACAAAGAAGATAAATAAAACAAGATCATGAGAATTAAGATATTATATATGATATAACACCATATATATGCAGGCTCTCTTTTATCAGGAGATTCCCAGACTTCCTGAAAAAGGCA